CCACTCGTTACCTGTAGTAATGACACCTGTTTGAACTTGTTATCAGTATAAAAGACACCTGTTCACAACATCAAACAATCACACTCCAAAAAACTCCACTATGATGAAGACCAAAGAGCTGTGTAAGACACCAGAAACCAAATTGTAGACCTGCACCAGGTTGGGAAGACTGAATCTCCAGGAGGCAAGCAGCTTGGTGTGAAGAAATCAACTGTGGGAGCGATAATCAGAAAATGGAAGACATACAAGACCACTGATAATCTCCCTCAATCAGGGGCTCCACACAAGATCTCACCCCGTGGAGTCAAAATGATCACAAGAACGGTGAAGAAAAATCCCAAAACCACACAGGGGTGACCTAGTGAATGACCTGCAGAARGCTGGGACCAATGTTACAAAGGCTACCATCAGCAACACACTGCACTGCCAGGCACTCAGATCCTGCAGTGCCAGACATGTCCCTCTGCTTAAGCCAGTACATATTCAGGCCCGTCTGATGTTTGCTAGAGTTTGCATCTTCTGGATGTTCTGTAAGAGTATTGGGAGAAAGTCATGTGGTCAGATGAAACCAACATAGAACTGTTTGGTAGAAACACATCTCGTTGTGTTTGGAGGAGAGTGAATGCTGAGTTGCATCTAAAGAACCATGGGGGTGGCAACATCATGCTTTGGTGCTGTTTCTCAGCAAAGGGACCAGGACGACTGATCCGTGTACATGAAAGAATGAATGGGGCCATGTATTGTGAGATTTTGGGTGCAAACCTCCTTCCATCAGCAAGGGCAATGAAGATGAAACGTGGCTGGGTCTTTCAGCATGACAATGATCCCAAGCACACTGCCAGGGCAACAAAGGAGTGGCTTCGTAAGAAACATTTCAAAGTCCTGGACTGGCCTAGCCAGTCTCCAGATCTCAACCTCACAGAAAACCTTTGGAGGGAGTTGAAAGTCCGTGTTGCCCGCCGACAGCCCCAAAACATCACTGCTCTAGAGGAGATCTGCATGGAGGAATGGGCCAACATACAGTGGGGAAAATAAGTATTTAGTCATTAAAAATAGTTAATCTCGGTACTTTGTTATATATACTTTGTTGGCAATGACAGAGGTCAAATG